TCCCAGCCCCTTACCCTGCTCGGTTTCCCTCCAAGGCGCAGATCCTCACCTGCTGAAGGTGAGCTCTCTAAGGGCAGGGATTTTGTGTTTTGTTCACTGCTGTTCTAGCCACAGGACTAAACCAGTACAGAGTAAAAGCTCACCAGGTGTGTTGAAGCGGGATGAAGGAAGGGAGGGCTGCCGCTGGAAGGGCAGCTACGGAATTGCGACCATATTAATTTACATATTAACCAAATAGGGTGCCGGGAGAATGAAAGGGGCGCGGTTATCAATTACACTGATGGAAAGACTGCCCGGGGCAGCGTGGGAGGGGAGTTCTGGTCTCTCTAGAGACAGATAAATTTAGGGGCAGAGTTGTTTAGGATGAGATGTTTATAAGGGGAGGGAGGAGGAGCCCGCTAAGAAGACAGCTTTATGCATATGGTCCAACAAAATGCCTCACTTTACCCTGTGCGCAAAATTTAATTTTCATACGTCATTTTGAGGCACCAGGAAGGAAAGTGATTTGGAGTCAGAAAACCTGAGTTCCAGTTCTGACAACGGAACCCCACCTTCCAGAGCCTCGGTATGGAGCTCACGTAGAAGACAATACAGAACGCTGAAGCATCTCTCAGGGTATGGTCTATGGGCATCCACAGGAGAATCGACGGATTCCTGGGTCTCACCATCAAACTGCCGAACCCAACGCAGGGGAGGAGCCTCAGAATGAGCGTGTTACATCACTTTCAACAGAGATTCAAATAGTACCAGCTTCCTGAAGTTCTTTTGAGGATTACATGAAAATCAGTAAGATAAAAATACCTAAAAACCCCCAATACCTGACATTTTATTACTGCCCAATTAATCTTGGCTGTTACTATTACAGGAATATTGTAAAAATCAACTGAGATAATAGCTGTGAAAACTGTAAACTGAAAGAGTGATGGGAATGAGACTCGCAGACCTCTAACAACAGGGAACATAACTGACCCAAGATGCTTTGCTCTGAAATCTACCACCATGCTGGCCCCGAAGCCACACTCGCCAAGTGCTCCCAAGCCAGTGAGTGAGCTGGGCTGAGATTCAGAGCAGTCCTGGTCCTGGGAGACGTGGGACTCCTCGGACAGCCGACTCTGGCTCAAGGACTCCCTCAATGGCTTTGCCAAATTTTCTTCAGACTGCATGGTGGCCTAGGATGTCCCACCGATACTCCTTCACGCAGGCGCCACCTGATGGCTCTCCCAGCTCCTGCCCCATTTTCTCTCACAGGTGTTTCCCTTTAAAAATCCTTGCATGGTTCATCTTATTTGGGAGTCTACTGCTTGGAGGACACAAACTAACATTTTTAAAAGTCATTAAAAAGTAAGGAGGTGAGAAAAGATTCTGGGAAGAAACCTTAAGTGTAAGCACTAGAAATCTGTCCCCCAACCCAGCAGCAAACACACAGCAGAACTGAAACCATTTGTAAATCTACAGTCTGTTGAAGACTTGCAACATCCAGAGAAGGTTTAGACCATAAATGCAGGTTAATTTGAGGAATTTCAGCTCTTAGCTCAGCAGCAGCTGCTCATCCCCCAGCTGCGCCCAGCCCTGTGGCAGGCAGTTGTGTACGTGCTCCTGGAGCAGCTTGCACATAGCTTGCAGGAGCCAGAGTGGGCAATAAGGACCCTGTCCTGCAGATAATAGGGATCAGTGTTCTGATTGCGGACCGCTGTTTCTCATCAAGGAGGCGCAGACACAGAGGCAGCAGCCATTGTCGCACCCACCCCATTGTTGCATGTCTCTCCTCCAGCTGAAGTGACTTCCAGGGGACATGAAGGCCTGCTGCCTCCCTCCACCCCATTCATTTTAGTCTTGTTCTCCTTTTGGGAGCCTGGCATTAAAGACTAGGGGGCAATCAAAAGAAATCACATATATGGGGGAAAGTAGAAAGTCACTGCAGATACCCAAGGAAAGTCACAGGCTCAGGTAAGACCCAAAAAGACCTTAAACTTACTCATTAGGCTGATCCTTGGCATATTTACTTATTTGTTCAATCCTGTTATATGTAACCAATCTCCACCCCTGCCAGCCGAGGACTCCTCAGCTTTGTGGTGACCTAGAGGGAGAGGGAGTGCTTCTCGGGTTTTGACTTGGTCACACCATAGCCAGCGCATCCGTCCCAACATCTCCCAAGTCCTAGAACTGCAGCACCTGGTTCTATCCTTTCTAACAAGACCCAGAACAGACGCTTAACCCTTGGATACACCACTTACAAGTAACACCTGTGAAACACCACCCGCGTGAACACTGGTGGACCCCTAACTGTTTCCCAGTCCAGTCCCGCCCCGTATCCTGGACTGGGGAACACAGCCCTGAGCCCTGCCTCCTGTCTCCTTTCTTTTCTCAAAACCTGGTGCCACAGCACTGGCCTCTATGTGTGGGAGGGGGTGGGGCTGCGGACCCTTGCTCAGGAACAATCCTGAGCCTCTGGTAGACCCCGAACCTTAAGAGACCACACCCAGTTTCCTGGCCAGCTGCTTGGTTGCCAGACCCCCAGCCTGGGGCAGAGAGATGGCGCCTCTGGGCCCCACACCCCACCCTGCTCAGCACGCCGGCGACAGGAGCCTTCACCGCGACGCTCAGTCTCCGGGTCTCAGGTGCGGTGTTAGTAGGGCCTCTTCTGGCTGTGCGTGGGAGAAATCACACTCAAAGTTGTGTCAGCAACAGGGGTTTGTTTATTGGGAGACTGCGGGACTCCGTGGAACAGCCTGGTCTCAGGAAAGGCAGAGGGAGGCAGGGCTTCGCGTTTCTTCTCACCTCTTCTTGTGGGGGCCTTTCTCCCCCTGAGACCCCCTCACGGGGGTGCTGACCACACACAGCAGTCCCTTGGCAGATGCCTGAACTCTGACGCTGAGTCCACCAGAGGCCCATTAAGTGGGGATGTCGGGGGTGGGTCCTGGACATCAGCCGCCCAGGTGGCTCGAATGAGCAGCCCGAGACGAGAAGGACTGAGGTATAGCTCAGGCACCCGACAGGCGCTTTTCGTAGGTCTCATTCATGGCTGGAGGGGCGGGAGTCCAGGAGACCCATTTAGGGGCACCCTCTGGCCCTTCTCTGGCCATCCCCTCTGGCCATAGGCTGGACAGGCGTCATGACACAGCCATTCCCGAGGCTCCCCACGGATGTGCGGCCGCTGCCCAGCCAGGGAGCCGCACGGATGATCCCACAGCAGCTCCCCCCCAGAGTGTCCACGACGGTCCTCTTGTCAGAGGTCATCCCTCAGAGTCAAGTTCAGGGGGATGGCTGAGTTGTGTCCTTGGGATTTGTGACTTGGTGAGAGAGGTGGGGGAGGCCGGAAGGAGGCTGGCCGAGGAGCGCATGGGGCAGGCGGGGGCAGCCACTGCCAGGTCTTCCACGTGGGAGAGAGAAGGCGGTGGCCAGAGGGAGACTCGGGGCCCGGGGGGATGTTTGGGGTGGGAGAGGCCTGAGCATGAGGGGAGGGGCTGATCTGGGTTCATCTTCCCTGCATTCCTCCGAGGACCCCCCGTTGGGTGCCTGTCCTTGAGGACCGAAGCCCTTTCTCTCCGCCTGCGCCTCGGAGTGAGGCTGGAGCTCCCCGCAGCCTGGGCGACCCCGAGCTGCTCCCTCTGCCCTGGGCCTAGGCCAGGGATGTAGCGGGGCTTCAGCAGGCTGGAGGAGAGGAAGGCCGGAGCGGAAAGGGGCGGCCCTGGGGTGACAGCAGAGCTTGGGGCTTTTAACCTTCCTCAGGATGGTCCTAATGCCTGAAAGGCCCTAATGTCCTTCTCCCCAGCCCCTTCTCCACTTAGGGATCCTACAGTGTTCCTTCACCCCGGCTCTGACCCCAGAACCCAGCTGGAGGGCCTCCTCCCAGGGGCAGGCGGAGTAGCAGGGGTGGGGCTGTGTCTCTCTTTAGACCAAGGATTCCCTGACCTCCGGACCGGTGCCCAGGGCTGAGCCAGGCCTCAGGGTGGGTGGGGTCTCCCAGGTGGGTGGGGTCTCTCATCAAGGAGATACTGGTGCCAACCCAAGGCCAGGCTGGCGAGGTTACTGGGCAGGTGACAGGAACCCTGATTAGCCTTAGCCATGCTGTGTAAACCTACCTGGACCTCTGTCTCCCCATCTTTATGCCCAACAACCCCAGGGACCAGCTCCGACATCTCTGAGCCAGCCCCCACCCTGGCCATGCCCGGGACAGATCAAATGACACCATACTTGGGGCTGGATGTTCACGTCTCTCTTTCCAAAAAACACCAAACATACAGTCTAGGTGTGGCAGGGAGACAGAGCCAGGCTGGGGGCCTGGGCATTACACACCCAGGGGGGCCTTGGAGGAGGCAGACAATTTAAGAACTGGTCTGAAAGTCAAAAGAGAGGACAGTTGGTTAGTGGGGTGAGCAGTAGTGGGGGAAGGAAGGGTAGGGACTGTGGGGTTCAGGCCCAGGCCCAGGGACTGGCCAGTGGGGTCAGACCTGGGCCCTCACAGCATCCCTTCCTGGGCCCATTCCCGGGGACAGGGGTGGCACTGCCGGGCCTAGCCCTTGGTGTGGGTGTCCACCCAATGCTGGGCATGCTGGAGGAGCTGAGACCTGAACTCAGGGTGGGGCCCAGCCTCTTGGTCTCTCTGAACCTGTTTCTTCATGTGTGATGTGGGGACATTCGTCATCCCAGCACTGCCTCCTTCATGGGGTGTCTGTGAGGAGCCGAGGGCTCTGGACAACCCAGGGCACTACACCAAGATCCATGTGTATTGCTATGTCCCCAGGGTCCAGCACAGTGTAGACACTCAGGTACCCTTCAGTGAGTAAATGAGCCTCCAGTGAAAGGGCCGGCACCTGGGCTGTGGGGAAACACACAGGTGCCATGAGACTGTGTGGAGAGGCCATGCCTGCACCTGGGCAGGTGGTGCACCTGTGGGCTAGGTCCCGCCTCTGGCCTCTCTGAGGTCTGGGTCTCGGTCTCAAAGTGAAGGGTGGATGCCTGTGTTGGGGACAGCTGCTAAGAGCCCTAACTGAGCTCAGGGGACATCCTGTGTCCTACTGGCCCTCTCAGAGCTCTGCAGGGCCCACTGAGTGCCGGTGGGAGGCTGCTGGCTGGGGCTGATGGGCTCAGACGTACTCTCTGGCCGTAGTTGAGGGGCCTGGCCGGTAGGGCTGTGGGCTGCTGTTGACTCTCTCAGGCTCTGGGCACGTGCAGCAGAGGAAGGAGCCCCCCAGCATGGCCAGGCCGGCAGAGGCCCAGCCCACGAACAAAGCCGGGCCAAACTCGTACCTGCAAGGAGTAGGGAGGATGCCATCAGGTGTGGCTGCAGCCCCAGGCCTCCACAGTCCTCACCAGGGGCTCCCTAGCCTGGGCCCCGGCCGGGGAGGCAGGGCGTGGGGAGCCGAGACTGGGGGCTTCACAAGCCTCAGCAGCCTCCCCAGAAGAGCTGGGGTGAACGCTCGCCTTCCTCTGCCCCACCCCAGCAGGTCGGCCCCACCAGGGACACCCAGATCCCTGGGGAGGAGGGGCTGCTCCGTGCAACCCCAAACCCCAGGCCCCTTTCCTCCTCCGGCCAGTGGAGGGAGCATGGGAGGGCCCACAGGGAGAGCGGGGCAATCGCTGCCGTATCTCTTAGTCACAGTCTGAGCCACAGGTTCCCAGCCAGGGATCCCCACTGCCCTCTGGGGAAGGGCAGGCCCCTCTCCCTGGCACTCCAGGATCTCCAGGCGCAGCCATGCCAACCAGCCCGCCGGTCTCTGCGGTACCCTGGGTCTCCCCGTTCCGTGCCTTTGCCCGAGGCGCCCCCTCCTGGAGCAGCCCCCATTCTGCTCCTCCTGTGCTCCGCCGTCAGGGCCCCGCTAAGAAGCTACCTCTGAATTGCACCGACTCTCACTAGGTGCCCATTCAGTCCCCTGCTTGTTTGGCTCCCTGGGGAGGGCTCAAGAGCAGACAACACCCGATTTGTCCGTATCTCCAGGGCCCAGCATAGGGCCTGCCACCCAGGCGGCCTTGGGACTGTTGCAGGGATGAAGGGACAGTGCCAGCCTGACACCCCCAATCTGAGCTGCCTCTTACTTGGCAGGTCTTCACGGCCAGAGCTGCCAGTCTCAGGGAAGGAGCCGCACATCTGAGGTCTCATTTTTCTTTCCTCTCCACACCTCTGCCTCCTCCAGGGAGCCCTCCCAACTGCAACAGCCCAGGCATCTTTTCTCATCCTCCCTCTGCCCTCCCACTCCCCCACTTCCCTGCACTCCCACACCAGACCTGTGAGGATGTCGGAGGTTGAGATTGTCCCATTCTCTGCTCCTGGTAGAGCTGAGAGGTGAAGGAGGAGCCATAGGGACCCAGGCCCTTCGCAGAGCCCCCTCTTCAGTCCCCACACCTTGGCCTTACATGTCCTGACCATTCTGCTGTGTAAATATCTCTGACCTACTCTTCACTGCTAGCCCCCTGGCCCAAGCCCTCTGCTCCAGACCTTTGCAACAGCGCCTTGCTGGTCTTGCCCCTTCCCCACCTTTTTCACGCCACAGCTAGATGGACTGTCAGCTGCCTGGGGAGCAAGACCCTCCTATGGCTGCAAGGCCCTCCATGATCTGCCCTATCTCTTCTCTAGTCTCACCTGCCCCCCTTCTCACCCAAAGGAACGACTGCCTCCTGCAGGAATAATGCAGCTCGGCTTGGCTGAGTGCTCTCCGGGGCCCAGGCACTGTACTGAGCCCTTACCTGCATATCTCATGAACACTGACTACCACATGTGAGCTGGTCCTTGGGTCCTAGCTCCATTTTACAGGGAGGAAACCTGGCACAGAAAGGTTAAGGAACTAGCCAGTCACAGCCAGCATGTCCAGAGCTGGGATTTAAGCCCAGAGCCAGGTGCCAGGAACTTAGCTCCTGGGGTATCCTCTACAGGCCCCCTGACCCTCTGGAGGGCCCAGCCACACCCTGCCTGGGTCCCTGCTCCAGAGAGCTTCTCAGTGACAGCACCTGTTTCCCCCTCTAAGTGCCCTGCAGGATAAAGGCCAGTGGCCCCAGAGGCAGTGGAAAGGGAGGCCCAGCCTGTCCCCTGGCCCAAGCCATGCCTTGGCACTCACCTGGCATTGACAGGTGTGCTCGGGTTGAAGAACTCCTGGGTCACCAGGGTGGCATACCATGAGACTGCAGTCAAGGTGCAGAGGCCTAAGGACAAAAGAAGGGGTGATCAGCTCTGGCCCCAGCTGGCACCATGGCAGGGCTACCTGTCATGACCAAGATGGTGGAGAAGGAGCCAAGAGCACTCACCTGCCAAGAGGAAGAGGGCACCCCCGGAGATGGCAATGCGGCCCTTGGCGATGGGGTTGCTGTCTCCGACCCGGGTGCACTTCATGCCAACCACACTGAGGACCATGGCCACAAAGCCCAGTAGCACTGCCACCACCATCAGGGCTCGTGCTGACTGGATGTGACCTGGGGGGTGGGAGGGACTGAGTTGGTGGTGGGAGGAGTGGGTGGAGGGGGGAAGCCCAGGCTGGGAGGGGCTGGAGCAGGAGCTGGAAGCTCCTCGATGGGCACCTGGGCAGGTGTGAGGGGGTAGTGAAGAAGGGGCAGGGCTGAGCTTCCCTGTATAACCCCATCATTCACTCTCACTCTCAGGCTCCTCTGGGTGGCATGTGGAGACTGGGCAGTTGGAGTTCTCTCATCAGCCACTTTCTGGCTAGGGACTCCCTTTTGGGCCTGACCTACCCCACCCAAGCAGCAGAGGCAGCTTCCCCTGGAGACTTTCAGTTTTGGCAAAAGGAGGAACTGAGAGAGGCTGAGACCCAATTCAGCCCAGGTGGCCCTCGGGCAGGGATGACAACCCCCACTGGCCATCCTGATTCTGGTCACTTTCCCTTCTTCCCTTTGAGTCACCCATGGCAGTCGTGTGCCTGCTGCTTGGGTCAGTTCTGGGCCAGGGGGCAGCTCAGGGAGGCCAGATGACCTCCTGGATCGGAGTGGCAGGGGCCATGTGATGGCAGCCTGGCTCTGGCCTGTGGGCCCTTGGCAGAGGGTGGGTGGGTGGCCCCAAGCCAGGGACAGGGCTGCAGTGGTGCCTGTTTATGAGCCAACTTTTCAGGCTCAATTCCACACCCTAGGAGGAGGCAGAGAGGGACCTGTGGCCCGAGCACCTGTGTGTGCACATACATGTGCGTGTGTGTGCACGTGTGTGGGTGCACCTGCGTGCGGCATGCTTTTCTAGCTGGTAGGGCCAGTGTGTGTGTGTGTGTGTGTGTGTGTGTGTGTGTGTGTAAAGCATGGGGAGAAGTGGAGGGAGGGTCCCTACTGAGCCTTTCTGGGTGCCAGGCAGTCATCTCACCTGGCCCTCCCACCAGCCTGTAAAACCATAGTGCTCCCTTTACACATGAAGATGTAGGAACACAGAGGGTCAGTGGCTTTTCAAGGTTACAGTGGCAGAGCTGGGATCTGGACCCATGGCTGCCAGAACCTAGAGCCCCTGCCCGTTGTGGGGCACCGGGCTAGCCTAGGTTTTCAAACGTACAAGGGCCAGAAAGCTGGAGAGTGAAGCCCCGTGCGGATGGCCTGTGTGAGAGCTTGCTCCGGGCCCCCCTCCCCGCGTCCCGCCCTGGCCCAGCCGGGCNGGCCAGAAAGCTGGAGAGTGAAGCCCCGTGCGGATGGCCTGTGTGAGAGCTTGCTCCGGGCCCCCCTCCCCGCGTCCCGCCCTGGCCCAGCCGGCATGAGGCCTACCTTCCAGGGCGAGCAGTGAGTCGTAGAGCTTGCACTGCACCTGCCCAGTGCTCTGGGAGGCGCAGGACATCCAGAGCCCTTCGTAGAGGCCCACGGCGGTGATGATGGCGTCGCCTGCATAGGAGGACTGCTTCCATTGTGGGAGGGCTGTGCTGGCGATGATGCCCACCCAGCCACCCAGGGCCAGGAAATAGCCCAGGAGCTGGAGGCCCGAGTTGGCCATGGCCCAGGGGAGGGGTCTGGGAGTCCCAGAGCTCAGAGCTGGGCCAGGACCCCTGGGGGGGCTGGGGTCATGGCCAGGCGAGCCAGGCTGCTGGGCAGGGGTTGGGGGCAGCGATGGGAAGAAGCTGAGAGGAGAGGTGGCGGCCCGGTCCCGGGAGCGGCAAAGCCAGCGGCTGAGGCTCCAGAATGCAGGGGGAGCCGAGGCGCTGGCAAGGCCAGGGCCCGCCCACGGCAGCCTGCTAAGCAGGGCAGGTCCCAGCAAAGCTCCTGCCCGGCCCTGGGGGGGAGCTGGCCATGGAGCAGGTGGGTGCCCCTGTCCCCGCCCCCAGGGACAGGGAAGGGAGGGGCCAGGAGGAGGGACCCTGCTTGTCCTCAGGGCCTTTCTGCCAGGGAAGCCCCTTTAGGAACCTGAAGCCAGTGCCCTGAAATTCTCCTAATTCCTACCCTGAGCACCAGCCCTGAGGTGACAGACTCTGCTCCTGCGTGGCTGAACTGACCCTGAGGGCTTTCGGTTCTCTGCCTGTAGGACAGAAAGGAAATGGAATTCCAATCTGCAGCAGGTAAGACTAGAGCAAGACATCAGGGAGACGTCTCTGAGGCCTGATATGGAGAGACTGGGCTGGGGAAAGGATGTTGGGGAGAGGGGGTCCTGGGTACTGGGGGGCCATGTGTATCAAAAACAGGGGAGACCAGACCAGGGAATATGCACTGTGGGGCCTGTTTGAGATATGAGTTTGGCAGAAGAGGGGCCCCATCAAGGCTGGGCCAGACCTGGCCACTGGTCAGCAGGGGGCCTGGCAGGGAGGGAGTTGGGAGATAGCACCGACCTCCTGGCCTCAGCCTGAAGGAAGACAGACTGTTCAGCCCATTAATTCCCTTGCTGGCTGGCTTAGCAGCTCCTGCTGGGGCCAGAGGCACCAGGCCCTGGCCCCCAGCTCCAGGACAGCTTGGTGGGGAGGGAGCCCTGGCCTCTGCACATTCCTGGGGTTCAGGCTTCCCCCTCCTCCCACCCACCTTCCCCTCTCACTCCCACCCCAGCTCAGCCCTCTGGAGCAGGAGAATATTTAACTCTCCTGGACCTCATTAGCAATCCCCTCACGTTCAATTTGGCTGTGGGTGCAGGGGGAATGTCACAACCCTGCTCCCACTCCTGCCAGCCTCCTCCAGCCGCCCCCTCATCTCCAGGGACTGGCCACCTGCTTTTGCCAGACTGCACTGGGGGAATGCAGGGTCCTGCTGTTGACCACCCCAGCTTCGTTCCCCCCAGCCTCAGCCCCCTTCCACAGGGACACATCCCCAGCCTGCACCCTTGCATTCTTCACGTGGCTATGCAAACGAGAGGGTGCCAGGCACTGCGCAGACAATGGCTGCCCTGTGTGCCCGCGCAAGGCGTGGGCCCCTGGTATGGCCTAGAGCTCCAGCCCTTGGGTGCTGGGGGAGCAGCCAGCCCTCCGAAGGGTCAGGGGTGGGTGCTGTTTGGCCTGCAGTTCTGAACACTGGGCCCCCCGTGGCCCTCCCTGCTGGGAAGGCCAGAGCCACATGGGTCTGTGTACTTGGGAAGGCCTGTGGGTCCTAAAAATCAGGCAGAGGGTCTAAATAGTTGTAGAGAAGTCAGCGCTGAGCTCAGATTCCTCTTCCTCTACAGACGATGCTGAGAAGGCACAATCCAGGGGAGCCAACGACATTGCGGGAGCCCAGAGTGGACACGCCTGGGGACCCATTGAATACCAGGTCTGAACTTTAGTATCAAGGCCACATGGAAACCAAGTGTCAGAGCCACACAGGCCCTCAAGACCATGGCTGCAAACCCTCTGTTGATGAGTGAGGGAGCTGAGAGCCAAAGAGGCCACGTGGGTGGCGGTCTCCAGGACAAAAGTCTCAGGGCTCTGGGGTCTCAGAGGATGTGTGCCTGAGCCTCCATCCTGGACACCCCAGAGCCTCACTCACACCAGGACCCAGAGACATCTGTGATCCAGGGCAACACATCTCCCTCCGAGGGCCTCTGTTGATCCCTTCTTGTTATTTGAGATCTTGAGTCTGTTCTATCCAAAAGTCCCCTGATGGCCTTCCTTTCTCAGTGTTCCAAAGCCTCTCAGCATTCAGGTCCTGCTCTTGGAGTGGCATTCCCTACCTGATGGAGCTTCTCCACCCAGGGTTTCTGCCACCCTGGTGTCCGCCCTCCCCCCACTCCAGCCCAGTGACTCCCAGGCATGCTGGACAGCACCCAGCCTCCGTCAAGAGCTAACTGGAAACTGCCCCGAGGTGTCACACTTCACTGTTTAACAAGTGTTTCCACATACATTACAAGAAGCTTAGGGTGCTAGCTTTACCTCTGCTACTGAAAGCTGTGTGACATTAGGCAAGTCCCTTAGCTTCTCTGGACCTGGTTCCTCAATGGAAAAGTAGGGCTAATACACTTGCCCTGTCTGGTTTGTGACGGTATTTACAGGGATCAAATAATGGGTGAGACGTCCTTTTGGAAAACATAATATGACTGAAGAAATGTGGCCAATGAAAGCTCTGTTCCCAAGACTCCCTCCTGGCAGGGTCTCCCCTTTTTGGCCCCTCTTCCTGGGTGTGGGTGACTGACTGTGGCTGAAGACCCACTGCCACTTCCTGCCTGTCAAAGCCTGGCAGAGAGTGGGCTGTGTTGATCATGGCTGGTTGGCATGAGGATTACACGTTTTTGCTTCCCTCCCAGTGGAACGCTGGAGCCCTTCCCGGGTCCTCTCCTGCTGACAGTAAGGAGAGTCTGACTCGGTTGCCATCCAGCACATTCTCTGCAGCCACCACCTGAAACATTGGAGGTGGAGCTGGTCTTACTGTCCCCCACTCAGCCTTTCTTGCAGAACCACAGGCTTGGAATGGAGAGGACTCGCCTCAGGCCACACAGCTAGAAAGCGGTGCAGCCACATCGTGGCCACCCCCAGCCGGTGCAGCCAGCAATGCGGCCACCTCCAGCCGTCCTGCCTGCCCAGGCAGGGTCAGGCGCCCTGATCCGGGATCCCGGAATGCTCTGCATAGTTCCAGTCACAGCACTTGGTGTGTGGTTTGCCTCCTTCCAGAGGACTGAGGACTGTGAGAACCTCCTGGCTCTACTACCAGCCTCAGTTCTGTGCCCCACAGCTAACCCCCTCCCAACAACCCTGAGCACAGGCTCTCTCGGTGCCTGTGCTGAGAGCTCCGCCAACGGCCTGGGGTGCCAGAGACCACGGTCCACATCCTCCTTGGGTCTGCTGAGCTGCCTCCGCCCCCCTGCCCTCATAGTGCTCGCATGGGCACCCTCTCTACCTGCAGCAAACTCCAGGCGTGGCTCACATGCCCTTACGTGTGCATCACAAGCCCAGACCGAGTGATCGCAGCCGCAACCCAGCCTGGACCCCGCCTCACCTCCTGCTTTGGAGTTGAGCTGCCCACCCTAATTATATGCACATTCCCCCTGGTCCTGCTGCTCTTAAAAACATTTGGCCTTTCGCAAGCTCTGTGAGAAGCCTGCTGTCTCCACACAGCGAGCGTTAGCTGAAATGGTAAAGGTCATCTGCCTTGATGTGGGAACCTCTGGAAGACCAGAATCAGGCGGGCGTAGCTTTCCGAAATGCTGAGTGTCTACTATGTGCTAAGCATAGTAGACACTGTCTCATAGATTCCCCATGCACACTCCTGACCATCCTGGGACGCCAGGACTGTCAGCCCAGGTTACCGGGGAGGAAGCACACCAAAGATCACACGACTCCAAGCGGTGGAGGTCAGTCTCGCCCACTCAGCATGTGGGTGAAGCTTATGTTCTTTCCACTAACATGGTCCTCTCTCCATAGGGCGAATGAGTCACCACACAGACACGGAATCACTCCCGTGAGCAGACTCACACACGGTGCTGTCTCCCCGCTTAAAACCACTACTTGTTTCTTCACTTCACACCTCCCTCCAGCTCATCTCTCTGGCCCCTTGGAGCCAAATGCCTGAGCAGAGCGGCCTATACCATCACCATGTATTCCCCTCCCTTCTCAAACTCACTCCAGCCCGTCTTCCGTCCACACCACCTCACCAAAGCATCTCTTGTCTGTGTCCTCGCTGATTTTCATGTCGTCAAATCAAAAGCAGATCCTCAGTTCTTCCCCAGCTCAACCTCAGCAGATCTGACAGCACTGCTCACTCCCTCCCTCCTCTCATCAGCTTCCAGGATTCTGTCCCTCCTGGGTTGCCCCTCATGTCTCTGTGGCTCCCAGTGTCCTCTAGCCCCTGGCGCCTCCAGCCAGGCTGTCTTCTGACTCTTCCTCTGCCTACCCTGACCGCAGTCTCCTGGCTTGAACAACACCCAGACGCCGATGGAGACTCCCAAAGGCACGTGACCTCCACCTCTCCCTGAACTTGCCTCATATACAGCAGACTCCCTATCTGGTGTTTCTACTTGGACACCTAACGGACTCCTCCAACTTCAGCATGACATGTGCAAAACCAAACTCCTGGTTCCCACATCCCCACCCCTCCTACAGCCTGAGGCTGGAATCCTTAATGTCCATTTTCTCACTCCAGCCAACCCATGGGCCACTCCTGCTGGCTCTGCCTTAGATCCAGAACCTGAGCCTTTTCACTGCCTTCACCCTGACCCACGCCACCTTCGTCTCTGAAGCAGTACTGCTCTCCTGGTTGCCATCCTCGCCCCATAGCCCATTCTCCACACACATTCTCTGCCGAGGCCTTTAAAATGTAAGTCGGATGTCGTCGCCCCTCTGTTCAAAACCCTCCAAGGGCGCGGGTCTCACCGAGTCGAAGCCCAAGTGCTCGCAGTGGCAGACAAGGCCCCCAGATTCTGACTTCATGCTGCCAGGCTGCCTCCCGGCCGTTCCTCCCTCCTCAGGGCCTGACGTGCTCCCCTTTCTGTCTCAAAGGATTACACACACACACATTTCTCACCTGTCTCCCCTATAAAAGGTAAGTGCTACGAGAGTGGGGAGTTGTTTGGTTTGCTCTCATATTTCCAGCACTGGCACCGAGCTGTGCTATCAACAGACGCTGGTTGACTGAATAAATGAGCACAGAGTGCAGGCTCCCAACTCTGCCCACAGCACCTCCAGCCCAGGAGGGGGATGGCTGTGGCTAGAGGAGCTGTCTCCAGTTCTGCTCTCTGTCTGTCTCCTGAGGAGTGTGCTGTCCTGCACCGGAGGCCCTGAGGTACGGGATC